GGTACTGGTATAGCATGCATATTATCATGGACCTATTACGGATGGACATTCAACGTGATACTTTCTTTGATCCAATGATAGTCACCGCCTTCTGATTATGTGCATCATAATGAGAACATTTAGCTGTTTTAACAATAACGACTGCGTAAGCATTTTTGGTCATTGACAAAGGAGCAGTTTCCCTCTCTTGGGTTTTGTCTAAGGAGGCTGAAAGTTTCCTTCATTAAGGTAGCAACTAAAGCACTTGTGGTGCTGTGCATTTTCTTGATCACAGGGAACTTGGAATGATAGTCAGTAATGAGTAAGTATTCAGTTCCATCAAGAAAAAACAGGCCTGTGGCTACCTTTGTTCATGGCGTCATTGGAACTTCATGTGGTTGAAGGGGTTCCCTTTGTTGCCACTGAAGTTCCCAAACTGGTCTGGGTAAGCTGCCTGTAGGTCTTTAGCTGACCTGATGGGAGGAAGATCATTTGGACTGTCCAGGCCTATCTGTTGTTCTACTGTGTGAATTGTAACAACCCCTAGCTTTTTGGAAGTAGGAAGTCCGACAATGACTGGTCCCCAGACGTTCGCAACATACCATGTTTGGTTTATGACCCAAGGCCACCCTTTGTACTTGCACGACATCATCAAGGTGCCTAAGCAGCGTAAAGGTGTTTCTTCGTAGGCAGATAGTCGCGTAGTAGTGGGACGGATAACATCTTTCCATCGAGCCCTGTACATGTCCTTCAGCGTCCGCAGTGGCAGAACATTACTGCTGGCTCCTGTGTCAACCTTTGCATTGAGGCGATGATGACCCCTCAGGTCTGGACATATGATGTTGATACTCGCATATCCTTCGGTCTGCTCCGAGTCAATTGAGTTTAGCGATATATGTATCATGTGGAATTCACATTCCTCACTGTCCGGCTGGTTTGTGTCGTCTGGTCCAATTTCGTCAACCTTACGCTGGTTCCTGCTATGAAAGGATGTAGGCCTATACTGCCTATTTCTAGGTTGTCTCTGCTGTGAGCTCCACCTGTCTTGTGATGGTGGACGTCTAGGAGGGATCTTCGATTTGACCAGTTCTTTCGTCTTTCGACACATCTTCGCCCAGTGTCCTTTGACACCACACGCATTGCATCAATGTTCCCACTTATGGAATACTCTCCCTCAATGGGTTAAGAATAGCAGTTCTGCTGAAGTGTTAAAAAACAATCTTAAGAAATATCTGTTTAATTTAGCTTATAATTGATTACCATTACCTTTCATGTCTGTACCTTTCCTATCGCACTTTGTATTAATGTATCATGTATGTATTTCATCTTTTGCACAAGCTGCGCCTTGAGCATTTGACTGTCAAGTGGATTTGGCGCCTTATAAATCATATGTATTATTATTATTGCACAGGTCCCTGAAGGCTGGACACCTCTTTGGAAGGTGTGAAAAACCACAATTCCTGCACTTCTGCCTACTAGCTATCGTGACTAACAGCATCAATGTTCCCACTTCTTTCAATAGTGTGGAGCGTCTGCAGGCACTGTTTACCGACTTGAATGACCTCATATTTGCGGCCTTCTTCAAGAAGCTTATCAACTGAGAACCCTTTTTCTTTGTCGAGTACCGGTAGGTCTTTCTGAAATGACTAAAGTTGTGTAGACGAAATCACCAGCTCTGTATAAGTCTTTAACTCAATTCCCCCTCGGTGAATTTGCAATCCTTTGACGAACTTGTCAATCGTTTCTCCAGACATCTGCTTGTATCGCATCAATTCGAGACGATGAATCCTGAAGTTCACTTTGACATTCAGTTGACCTTCGATTAGGGCCCAAAGCTTGCCTGGGTCCTTCTGATCCTCTACACTGAGGCTAGAGACATTTATCCTGCGTAACCCTTCGTTCCCAAGAGCTATCTTTATTTTTGTTGCCTGTTTTGTAGTATCAGTTATCTCATTATTGAGAAGGCAAAGTTCCATTTGCTGTTGAAATAACATGAATTCTTCAGCGAGACCACACTGAGAGTCCCACTTCATCTCTGGATAACAAGTGTCACGCATTTAGAGGGGCTGAAAACGCTCTCACGCACAACGTGCGCGCTTTATTAAAAAAAAACGCTATACCTTATACGTGTGTTATACCCTCGCCCGCAAGCTCGCGCGCCTATTCATGCAAATGTCACGTATTGCTGATCTTTGAACTTGGCGTCTCTCCTTAATTAGGACAGGTCCACATGTAGAAATTGGACTTGTTAAAGTCTAAAGTAAACACATTTAGAACTAGAACATTAGGTCTAGTAATATAGAACAAGGTGAAAGTAAATTTTGATCAAATTACATCTTTTTATTCATACTCATACTCATAGTCATACTCGGTCTAGTCTAGATCTATAGTAGAGTCTAGACTAGAAAAAAATGTCTAGACTATCTATCTAGGTCTAGGTCTAGATCTAGATCTAGTCTAGTTTTATATGCAAAGCACACTAATGATGGTTTAATTGTTTCAAACCGAGTCCAAACATTATATGTCTGCTTACATTATAGTCCATTTGATTAAGAGTCTAATCTAGTTTTCATTCCACAATGAGATCCGACCAAGTCCAGCAATTAGTCCTGGATCTACTTGCACGGTCCGCAACACGACGCTCTGAATCCGAGTGGCTCAGTTCCAAAACCAAAATACAGATTAGGGCTGGGAGACTAACGCCGAGATAGGCCTAACTGTACTGTACTGTTCCCGGTCCCGATCCCGGTCTAGGCTCTGTTCTTGTCTCCTCCTGACGAGCCTCAAGGCTCTGGTTCTGGCGAGCCTCTAGGCTCTGGTTCTGCCTCCGCATCAGTTCTCGTCCTGAATGTAGGGCTTTAGTTTGACAGTCAATACACTACTCGTTGTGTTGCCCGCGTAATACAGTGCGCAACCTTACCCCGACACAAAGTCATATTGGAGACGCGGCTGTGAGTTTACTCATCTGGCTGTGAGTGTGATTGTCAGCAGTTCAAAAACCATCCCTTATCAATCTTTCATAGGTCATTCAAGATTATTGCTGGCCCTATGTGATCTGCAGTTCAATAGTAATAGAAATGGCAATTCTTTTGACCGCTGCCACCATGTTGAAAGATCAGATGAACGGATGCGTACGCGTCCCCAGCTATACGGGTATTTCGAGGTTTTTTTTTCGATCCGAACACTAACTTAAGGTAAAGTTGAAATGATATCACTTTTTCTCTATTTTTTTCCACGTAACTTCATTATTTTTTTAATGGATGAGATGAATGGATATATCTAAATGATACTTCAAAGAACTTTAGCACATAATAGCTAATAATAAGCTGGAAAACTTTGTCAAAATATAAGGGATACATCTTGGCTTCTGTAGAAGCCTGTCGTTACAGACTTCACAACTCGCTCGGCTTCTGTAGAAGCCTGTCGTCTCCAAAGTGTTAAGGCACTTTCAATAGCCCTGGGCATCACTTTTAGAAATGTGCAAACATTTCGAGGGCACATTCAAGTTCAAGTTTAAGTTTGTTTTTTTACACTCATCATAGTCACATTTACAAATACAGAATAACATACATAAATATCATACATCCAAACAAAAACATAACATAATGAGAGTGAAGGCATGCAGGAGTATAGTCCTTAATATGCAAGAGTCCATCCCCCATATATAATATTATTAATATTCAAATTAAACGTCATACTATTGGAAGCATGAAAATAAAAACAGGGGGGGGGGGATAAATGTTATTTCATAACACAAAAATAGGCAAGATGATATAGGGTACTAGAATTGACTTTTAGTTGATACTTCAAGACTTTTGTTAAAAAAACTATGCAGAACCTTATTTCTCTAAATATAGAATACCATACAAATCATTTTTTTATCATTTTGTTCCTTGATTAAGTTTATTTTCCATTAATATCAACCAAATTAGGCATTCTGTTCATTTTTGAAAGATGAAAAGCCTTAGCAAGTCTCTGTTCAATGCTGTTCTACATATATACTGGTAGTCATTATTCGTACTCCATGTGGGGATTGTATTTGAAGAGAGACCCATTGAAAAATGAGACACGATAGTGGGGGAGATTGTTAGTCAAATCAACCATTCCTGACAAGCACACCAAATTTGAAACACGAAGAATCATTACTCTTTTAGTCCTCATTGCACACATCAACACACATGCCATACAGAGGGACTTTTCACATAATAACATATCACTATCATTAAAGCAGAAATCATCCCTTTCTCTTTACGTCTATTTTTGATAATCATAGACGGAAAAATATTAATAATCAGATGATCGAAGCTGTGGAATTCAATTTTACATGTACATAATTGTTGCACACAAATATCACAATACCACTAAATATAAAACACTTTGTTGGGGGCTCAGATCTCATTTTTATCAATCATAAGTCAAGACATCAAAATAGTTGGGACTATTAAATTAAAGATAAACTTGAGCTCTGGTTAAAAAAGAAAATTAATTCTTACAGAATCAAACGATACTTACACTGAATATTCAAGATTACAAATAAATGTCATGTGTCAAACAATTTTGGAAGAAAATGTATACTGTCTGAGTAATGAGCATAGAAAGATAAGGAAATCAAGGTATAGTAGCCCTGAAACCATTTGTGTAGTCCCATAAACATCTTTCTGTGTACAGCTAGTGCTTGTTACTTTACCAAGACTGGGCCAAATTTATTATGATTTCCATGACTCCAAAACCTTGCAGTACATGATCAACTTTTTCTGATCCATTCCACACCTTTTCTTTCACAATGCAATATATTGCATTACCAGAACTCACCTTTGTCTTTAAAAGATAATATAAAGTATCATTTAAAAGAATGTGTCAATTTATATAGAACTATATAAGAAACCTGTATATTGTAAGCGCCTTGGTCAGTTAAGTTGTAAATAAAAAAACTCCTTCAAAACAAACAGTTATCATTATTATATGACTAAAACAGAAATATCCTCAGGGAAAGGGAAAAGAGATGAAGAAAAAAGACTCACCATGAACAAGTAAATCTGCAAGTTGATCCATTCCCATTTCCAACAATATTTTACACAGCTGCCATCCAAGAGTATTTCCTCCATAAATTGATCTATTTCTGATGGTCCAATTCCTCAGGAAAAAGAACTTCTGTTTGTTGACATCAAGCCATTGTTTCTTGATTTGGAGAAAATTACGATCTGGTACTTGCAGTCTATCTGCAAGTTCTACTGGTGAACACCGCATTTTTGCAATTATTTCAAGCATCGGACCATCATTAAGATCTGTTAAAACAAAGTTTAAAAAAGAGAGAAATGTAATCCTTGAATAGGATTTCATTCTTATGGACCATACTCTAATACAGTCAATGATAATGATGATGATGATGATGATGATGATGATAATGATATACAGCATTTAGATATGGTGCCATATATCTGTTTGAAATCTTTCAAAGGTGCAGAGTTCAGTACATGATTCATTACAAAAATAAGATATGATATTGAATTTAGTCATTTGTTGCATCATTTAAAATTCAAACCTGATGACAATTGCAGATCACAAAATCTACTGATGGATGACAGCATAATTTCTCTACTTTTTGTGTTTTTTTTTTGCAAATTGTTCTTCTTCCCTCACTTCTTCAATTCATTGATCCAAGCTTCTATCAATCTAATGATCTATCTCCCATTTGTGTAGTTTTTCAGATTAGTAACATACCTCTTGGAGGGGGTACCCTAGGCATCCTTGGATTCCTTTCTGGCAGACCCTCTGGCCTCAAGGACACCGGTAGCACCATGTCGGCGGCATCATTGTACTCATACTTCATGAGAACATCAAAGAGTTTCCTCTGCCCTTCCTCTTCATTCATAGCTCTGTTAGCGCGCCACCACTGGAGTAACCTAAGGAGGGTGTTGGGCTTGGAGCTGTGGCGGCTGTAGTTATGGCCAAACTGCTCCTGCAAGGGGATACCCAGAGCGTTGGCTATGCTGTACTGCTTTTCTTCCACCATGTTGGCTATCACTTCTAGGAGAGTGTCATCCATACCTGTAGGGAGGGTGAATAGGTGTTCATTCAATATTCAAAACATACAAGAAATGTTAGCTGTGTGAGACCCTGTTTCTTACATGCCTTTGTTTTTTCTCACTAAACAATACATTACATTTTGTCCCTGCCTACATATATGCAACCATGATTTAATATGAGCTCAAACAGAGAATAAAATATGATACTGACGTTAATTGTTGTTACGAAATAGATATAAAAACATATAGCTATGTATTGGCAAATTGGCATTTGTTACCTTTCAACTAAGACCTAATTGTCTCAAATTTTATTCTCCTACAGGGTGATGCACTCTGGTGCCATGAACAAAGTTCATGCCTCAAATGGGTGTTGAAAATATTGTGCTGAGAGAGAGAGGCATTGCCATACAATTTTCACATATCTTTATCTCTGTAGTCTTTAACCAAATGAGTACAAAACAAACCATTCAATAATCCTAATAGCAACATTTGTGAAGTAAATTAGCTAATATGTTATCTTGAGATATGACGTTGGGGTTCCATGACTTTCATGTAAACTGATTTTGTGTGACCTTTGACCAATGATGAAGCACGATGGTATCAAGGATGTGAAACATGTTAAAATAGTTGTATGAGATATCACAATAAGAAGACAGCAGGAGAGACAGATGGACGACACCACCCTAGTAGTTTTGTGTGTTGCGAAAATATATTTTTTCCCTATTTTCTGGAAATGCAGACGATTTTTTCCCTATTTCCTTCAAGAAAATAGGAAAAAATAGGGCTATTTTTTTCCTATTTTCAAGTACAAACTATTTTTTCCCTATTTTTTTCACCTTTATCTTTTTTAGACTTCTTTTTACCTATTTGCGAGTACTATTTTCTTCCTATTTTTTGCACTTACATTTTTTATGACATGATATACAAATTTGTAAACTATTTTTTGTCTATTTTCTAAACTTGCATATTTTCATTGTTTATGACTGGCATCCTATTAAAAAAGCCCGCTTCTCCTGCCATTATCTCTGTTGTTCATTTTGCGACTTATTGGTGGTTTTTAGCTGTGGGGTCACATATTGAATAGTGAGCTCAAAGATAACCATAAATAAACAATGTGTAAAAAGAAAATAAACGAAATTTCAATTTTGTTCCTTTATTAATATTCTTGATTTTATTTACAAAACTATAGTAGTGACTAGTGCACTCAAAGATAACCATACATAAACCATGTGTAAAAAGAAAATGTACACATAGAAATTTCAAAAACAAAGCATTCGATCGAGATATTCCCGTTCTATGTGTGAGTAAAGTTTCAACGTAGAGGACAGTACGCAAGTACCCGTACGTAATTTGAAAATTACCCATTATTTTTTTTCCCCACTGGCACTGCTGTGCGCATCAGACTTTTGCTGATTTTCGTTCATCAAACGTCTCCAAATCACACCAAAATGTCTTCCAGCAATTATTCTAGCGATGAAATTTCATCAAGAGATAGTGACTCCTCATACTCCGATGCCTCCTTATCCCATTTTAGTGATTCTTCCCAAGAAAATGAGCCCGACAAATTTTCAAAATATTACCAGTCCCACTTGTACTAGTCGTAGAGAAACGAGTTTGTTGTCGAATGACGTACCATCGACGAGCGTAACTGGCCCCAGAAAACAGCTGAAAAGGTACGTTTATTTCTGAAACTTAATTATATTATGATATATATATTTTTATTGTGTCTGTTGTTGAATATAATGCTACTTCATAGACATAGTAGGCTTATAGAATGTTATTTTACGTATCAATATTCCCATGTAGTGCTGAGTGAAGTGTAGTGAATCCCCAAGTGCAGTGTAGTATACAAATAACGCACGTCCCAGAGTGCAATAGCGGTGAATGCAGTACACGCGAGGTTTCTTTAGATTGGTGCCGCTCTGTGAACGAGCCGCTTGCGGCGAGTTTACAGTGCGCACCATCTGAAGAAACCGAGCGTACACTGCATTTACGTTTCGCACAACAGGGTCAAGTGCGTTATTTGTTTTATAAAATAGCGACACAAATAGCAACAAACGAAACTTTAGATCTTAAGTTAGAGTCTACGAGAGTTAAATCTAGATCTAGAGTTATGCTGGTTCTAGACTAAGACCTTGCAGGCTTACCAAAAAGTCAATGGGATTCATTGCCTTGATTAAAAATAAAATCCATACAGTGGGTCTAGAGACGAGTCTACATCAGACAGCTGAAATTCCTGGCTTCATTATAAAATCCAAAAGTCAAAACAGGCCTAAATCCAAGGCAAAAGTAAAATAAAAATTTGCTTTTTAATAATACCCCGCTCAAGCTAGCTAGCTAGAGCTAAGCTACGCGTACGCTGCGCTGGGGATCATGGTGGAGCGTACAATATTAGCTACGCGTAGCCTACAATAATTGCAATGGACTCGAGGGAGTGCGTACTACACGTACGCGCGCGCACTGGATCTCCATGGTCACGTGCATTATAACTTTTTGTTGCGCTTTTTCTGCACTCATTTCTGCAAAATCGTGCTTGCATCAAAAATTTGTCAATGTCATGTGACGCGTATTGACCAATCACGATGCTTAAAATACTAGAGCCATTTTATAATGTCTGTTAGTGAATGAGTGAATGTAAACAAACGTGATTACAATAAATCCACGTAGAAATTTCATATTTTTTTAACCATTACTACGTCTGTCAATTATATTGCCTTGCATGATATAATGTTTTGATGTGGTTTTAGGCTAAATTGTATCTCAAATTATTTTGCTAGGAATCAGAAAACACAACCTGCTAAAGCACCACGCAAGAAGAAGAGCAAGTCTTCCAAGTCCGAGAGTGTGTCTGCGAGGTATGTCCTTACTAAGTAGAAATCTAAATCTATTGTTGATAATTTGTTTGGGTATATTTATTTCACGTTTGTTAGTTAAGATCTGACTTTAAAATATTAGAGTAGTTTACCTCATCATTATGCTATAACAATAATTTGCAGGTGGCACAAGTTCTACCTAGATCTACATTATTTTTCTCTTTCCTTTTTATTTTTTTCTTCAAAAAATTGTTCCTTTACTATTTTCTTTTCTGTGTTTTATGTTTTATTTTATGTATGTTCACCCGTTATATCTAAGAATAAAATAACTCTAATTAATTGCCTACCTGAGTGGTTTACATTTCATGCACCTTGACAGCTTTTTGATGACTCTGTTGTTTCACCATCCGTTCGTGGTCAGCCTGGCATCTTTTTTGCTATCATACTTTTGTACACACATGTTCTGTGCCTTTGAATTTTTCATTATGAAATACATAAATACTTGTACTAAGTATTAATTGCATGTTCATAAATGTACCAATGCATGATTATTCTAACCCCTAACTCACATTTCATTTATCTTTACAGATCCATTGAAACTAATCAAGCTACAATGTACATGTAACGTACAACCACCATTTGATTAGATGCCTGTGAACAGCAAGACCAACATCTGTATCCTTTACATTAGTGTTTGTTTCCATTTTATTATGTAATTCTTATGTCTAATCATTAAGATTCATAGGCAAGTACAACATGTATGTGTACACAATGAGTGCCTGCATATTGTGAAGATAAAGGACCATAAGACCATTACTTATGATACATGGTAATGATGGTATACTTTGTAAAACTATTTGAAAATAGTAGCATGTAAGTCTGTCATTTTCTTGTTTATATATATCTCAATGACATGACATGTCATTGATTTTGTAGTAAGTGTTTCTAGATTATGATGATTGTATTAAGATTTTGACAGTTCAATTGAGATTGAGAAAATTAGGTAACATGTCAACTGTACTATAAAGCATGCATGCATTGTTGAAAAATCTGTTTTATGATTTATTTTATTTTGTTATCTTTGTAAATAACGAGAAAAAAATATTATTTGTCATGATTTTCTTGAGGTTTGAAAATGTTATTACATTATTAAGAGCACTTTGTAATATTAAATTGTAATAAAAGAGACAGAAAACAACACTCTCATGTCCAGAATACTGCTTTATTTGGTTACTAGTGAGGGAGAGAGCTTGTGATCGCCTGGCATATCCGCATCGGCTCAGTAATAGTCCTGAAACTCACCTGAATACTTTATTTGAACAAAAATAGAAAGCTACATTCTAGGTGGATGATATTTTTTTTAAGGCGGAGGCATATAGGAGACGCAGTCGCATTTGTCTTCTTTTTTTTTTTAGAGTATAATCATAGCAAACCATGAACAACTCTATTACTACAACATGTACACTACAGTACTTAACCAAAGATTGTAAATATCAGTTAAGTTCTGTTATTTATTTGCTTATATGAACACACATACTATACTAAACTCATGTCATTGTGTTTACCTCTCGAAAATAAAGTACATGTATTTTATTTGACACATTCCCTTTTATTCTTTTTGTTTGTTACAGTCCACTGCCATTATAACGAGGTGCTCGGGACCAAGCCAAATTCCTTGTTAAAATGAAATCATGTTATACTCAAGTTACTGAACACATTGGTTTGTTTAAAATTGGGACTGATGAGAATTGCCTGATAATAAAATCTTGGTGTATCCATGTTTGTTATAATAGGAGTGGACTGTATAACATTTTCCATATACCCATTGACTATTTTAAATGTTCTACTGAATGGATTGGACTGAAAGGATGAAGTGAATTTGGCAAACTGAGTAGGTTCATCGATGCAGAGAATAGAGCTGTAATAGTAGGGTGACTATTCTACAGTGGAAACTTTTGACAATGAGGTCATGTGCAACCAAGAAATCTTAACCCCCAAAAGCTGGTAAATTACCTTGTCATTTCAGGTATAACTGATCTCTTTATATCAAGTTTGCACTGCATGATTTAGTTGAATGTACAGAGTCGTTGACTGGATGTGTGAGATGGTAGTGCTTGAGAAATCCATGAAAGTAAAGGATGAATGATCCCCCCCCCCCTATTTCCTTACTATTTTTTTCCTATTTTCTTACTATTTTCCCCTATTTTCTTACTATTTTTTTCCTATTTTCTTATTATTTTTTTCCTATTTCCTTACTATTTTTTTCCTATTTTCTCACTATTTTTCCCTATTTTCTTACTATTTTTTTCCTATTTTCTTTCTATTTTTTTCCTATTTTCTTACTATTTTTTTCTTATTTCCTTACTATTTTTTTCCTATTTTCTTACTATTTTTCCCTATTTTCTTACTATTTTTTCCTATTTTTTTCCTATTTTCTCACTATTTTTTTCCTATTTCCTCACTATTTTTCACTGTTCACTAAGCACCTAGTTATCACTATTTTTTTACTATTTTCTTCACTTTTTTCTACACTATTTTTTTCCCTATTTATTTCCTATTTTCAGGTCTGAAAAATAAAAAAATAGGAAAAAAATAGAAAAAATTGTTTCAACCCTATTTTTTTCCTATTTCCAAAACTATTTTTTCCCTATTTTTTCCTTTTAAAAAAATAGGGAAAAAATAGAAAAAAAATATTTTCGGGACTATTTTTTCCCTGTTTTTCACCTATTTTTTTACGACTGGGGCACTCACCTTTAACAACCTTGTTAGCCAGGCTGTCCCTTCCACATATCTTGAGGGCAGCAGACAATGCACCCAGAAGGTCTCCCTCTGGTTCCTGACGCCTCTTCCACCTTAAGAGGACTTGATATGCTGTAAAGATGTCATCTCCCTTGCGCAGATCCTGCAGATCCTGCAGCTCCCTGGTAGTCAACTGGAGCTCCTTGCCAAGACGCTTCCAGAAATCTTTCACACTTCCAGCTAGGTCTTCTAGTAGTTTGCCCGTTAGACCTGCAATTTTGCAAATGATCGATAACCAAAATTTATTGAATGTTGAATTTTTTTAATGCATTTTCAAACAAATTTATACACTAAGTTCTCAGTATTCAATTTTTTTCTTTCTCCCTGCCATAAGCTTATACTAGACAGGCTACAAGGAATGTGTCTACTCATAGCCAAATATATTGGAAAGGAATTCCCAATATCCTTCAGGCATGCCTTTGCACATACATTGAATCTGAAATTTAAGTCCATTCTCATAATGTATCACTCGTATTGGTACAGTTAATCCACATTTATGAATAATAAGAGTATCAAAATGACAATGGTTTGTAAAGGTATATAATAATAGCTTTGAAATTTCCCAATGACACCACAAAGTCAATGATTCTACAAAAAAATGTAAAACAGGTAGCTATTAGGTGTTCCTCTGTCAAAGACAACAAAAGGGTGAAATTAATAGAGACACTACTGATTGAGGCACTGTACAAGACGTGCGACAAGGGACTAAATTAGGACCACTACAATTTTATAATTATAATATTGGATTTCAACACACCCCTACAAACTTCCAATGCTAATTCTTCCATGCCTATGGTACCAAGCGCTTTGGCTAGCAGGAGAGGCTTGTCGGAATCAAAGGTCAGCATAAATCTCCAGTCCAGGAGCATGATATAGACCCTCTGGCTTGGATGGGGGTCCTCCATCTGGAGGCGGGATAGATGGTCCCGCTCCAGACCGAGGTTTTCTCCAAGAACATTCCAGACAGTCTCGTGGACCTGACCTGCGATATGATGCAGTCTTTGCTCATCAAGTCCTGTAAGATTAGGTTACACAATCGGTCTTCAATTCATTATTGTTTCTACATTTATCAGCCTTCTATGATACTATCTACTGGTAACATGAAAACTCATGTTCTTTAGACTAAGGAATGTGTAAATTAAACATGATATATATACCACAAAATGAGTCAAATATTGATAATGAGATCACCAAGAAAATAAACACAAAAGCTCTCCAAAGAGTGGAGACAGTGCACACTTGTGTGTAGGTATAAATCATGTGATAAATATACAGCCAAGAACAGTGAGGTATTAATGAATAAGCTACCAATGTTATCATTAATATTGTTATAAAAATAATAATAATAATATTGGATATTTATATAGTGCACATATCCACCCTGCAGGGTGCTCAATGCGCTCCAATATTACCACGGCTCTGCTAGGCTACCAATGTCGGTGCTCACAGCATTCAAGGAATTACTTCCTACCGGTCCCCATTTACTTCACCTGGGTGGAGTGTGGCAAATGTAGATCAATGTCTTGCCAAAGGACATTAGTGCCACAGTGGGATTCGAACCGCAGACCTTGGGATCGACAGTCCAGCGACGTATCCACTCGACCACCACACCTCTACATAATATAATTATAATATTCTTTCTCTTTCTCACACTTCTTTTCCAAATCATCTTTTCATTTTATCTGTTTTCTTGAATCTCTCTTGCTCCCTCTCTCTTGCTCTTTCACTCTCTCTCTCTATTTCTATCTCTCTATCTCAAACCCTCTTTCTCTCCTTCAATATAACTCACCTTGTTCTAGTTCATTTGCCAAAGAATGAAATTCACTTTTGTGGCATGCCTTGATCAGCGGTCCCAGTTTATCCCTAGAGCTTGACATCTGTTCACGCCATCTACGCAGCATGTCCATAGCACAGTCCTTGGACGACATGTTAAGGTCTACAATCTGGGTAATTTCCTTGTTCATGATACCCAAGTTCTCGGCCAAAGTCTTCCAGTTTCCACAGAGACGTATCGCCACATTGTTCAGGACATCATCCAAGAGAGTGACTGCATGGTAGGATTTTTTTTAAAAATGGGAATGGATTTGATCAGTCAATTCAATTTTATTCTTTTCTTGGCAAGGATTATGTTTATAGGGGAAGTCCACCCTGATATCAAGTTGGTTTTAATAGAAGCAGAAAAATGAGAGAAACCGGTCAGTGAAAGTTTGAGCAAAAACCAAATAAATGTAGGAAAGCTGTGACATATCTTGCGGGGCTTCCCTAACTAAAAACTTTCAACAATTTATATTTTTCCTTATGAATATTTTCAATCATACATTCACTCTAAATATATAATTATTGTAAATATATTTTTATACAACCCATGTATGAAACAATCTATTCTGTCATCAATAACTAAGAAAATGAAAGTTTATGACATTTTCTGTACAGAGCAAATTGGAGAAGTCACGAAATACCTAACAGTGTTGCCAATTTCTGTTTCACTGATGACAACTTTAGAAATTCATAACTTTCTTATTGTTAAACAGATATTGCTAAAACTTTCACTAATTTGTTTCTTTAATATTTCTGCTTTTATCAAAATTTGAATTATCCAAAGTTGATTCAGATACTGAATTGATGAATTTTATCATCTTTAATCAATTATTGTGTTGCAGCACTTTGCATGATAGACACTTATCACATTTATGATTATTCGTTCAGTAGTTCAATAATCAAGTGTCCAATCAATGAAGCTCAAAGAAAGACAAATATGTCAAATGTTTATATCATGTGGAAAGAAATCCAACTGCAACAAACCACATTCATATCTCTCACAAAATGAACAGCACTGAAGTATTGGGAAAAGATCTAATCATATAAAATGTATATTGATATGCTAAGATCTAAATATGAGTACAAATAAAACACATAAATCTGTTAACATCCAACTCACATTTACTGACAACCCTGCCGTGATCCTGTCCTATCGTTCTGTGACCTTTAGTGTTTGCAGTGTCTGCAGAAGGCCTGTCTTCTGTTTCTTTCTTTCTTGAGCGACTCTCCGTGTAAGATTTTGGAAACTTTTTAGTGGTCCAACTTTTAGTTTCATGCTTGCCCGTTGCCAAAGCCTGTGTTTTGGAGGTATTGTCTTTGGGACGAGTTGTCCCTCTGTTTGCGGCCCCGATATATGATGTCTGTCCATACTTAGCATGGGTGGGCATGTACCCAGTGGAAGAAGATTTCACATGTGCCTTTACTCGTACCTCTCCCGGGTCTATAGCTCTACCATGCACTTGATCTGTATCATCAAGAAAATTTAACAACAGTTTTGGATCAATGAACTAGAAGGTATTAAACAATTGCTTAAAAATGATTTCATCTCTTGCACAAGTGCAATGTGAGCACTTGATTTCTTGTGGATTATAAATCATTTTATGTTAATATTATTATCACAATGACCACAGCAATGTTTTATTCTGCTGGTTCATCTCTACAGTGCGTCCCAGAAAAAACGAAACCGAGAATTATCGAAGTTTTATCATAACTTAATCACAATTATAATTGATAAATGACACATATTTGGAAAGCTTAGATCCTCCTCTTTTATTTGATGCAACTCGTAATAATGCATATTTCACACATGAGTGATTAAAATCAATTTGAAGAGAGGAAAACAAAAAGTCATTTGGCGGACAATATCTGAATTTCTAACAGAAAATCACAATTTTAGAAAAATAAAATTCCCCACCTATTGAATGCTGATCTAGAATCCCTGGCTGGTCTAGATTTGCAAGTGGCAAGACAGATGCTTTGGGACATAGGATTGTCCGCTCAAGGTTGCTAGGATGAAAGAGTTTCACGCCGTCATATGTTCCATCATTCCTTTCAGACGGTTTAACAGGATGATCCTGGGTAATGAAGAACCACAAAAGCTTAAATGTGTAAATTTCTGACAACATATTTTCAGCATTGCAATGAAGCAGGTTAACACACTGTAGCAACCACCTGTATATGAAGGATTAATTATCTCTGTAAACTACACTTTTTTTTTTTTTCCTCACATCAGTTTCCTTATTGAAATCCGATAGCTTTGATAACTTCTGGTCTGTGACCTTTGACCTAAAGAAATCATTTTGTGATCAGGTCACTTCTTAATGATACTTCACTCGATCAGGTACCAAGATATCAAGATTGTATGGACTAAGACTTACGATAAATGATAATGGCATTAACAATTCTTTTCATAATAAAAATCAGCGACCTATGCACTTTGACCTCTGCTCTTTGACTGGGTAATTAAAAGTCTCATCACTTTACCTTTGTGTGAGGAATAATACCACATTCCAAATTTGTCTCCAAAATGACCTCTAACTCAGCGCTGAGAGTTTGCCTTTAACGAGGAAAAGATACAAACAACAACAAAAAACTAATAAAACAACAAAACAAAATTGATGGAAGTAAAGTGGTGCATTCTTCTTTTTCTTACAAATTCAATTCCCACATATTCTGTCTTGGCACCAGGGGGAAATCCACAGTACAAAACACGCCCCTCCTTCTCTCCTTCATCTGTGAGCACATGAACCCTCTGATGAACAGCATAGATGTCATCGAGACCCAGAGCAGAGTCCACTTCTACTACATCTGGTGTCCTTCTGTAATGTCTCTTGCATATGTTGTAGTCTAGGTAACGTTTCTTGATTCTGGTGATGGGGACAAACACACCGCAGTCTTGCTGGCAGGCGAAAAAAATATGGTTCCTGAATGTTCCATCCGTAGTGCCTGCTCCTCTGTATTCCTGAGAAAGAGACACAAGGAGAGAAAGTAAGTTCAAAGCTCACTAATGGCTGTCTTACATGTGTACATTGCAAGAGCATTATTCTTTCTACTTGTATGAATTCTTCAGATTCATTATCTTCCTTTTTTGCAAATTTTCGGCAAATAATTCTCATAACAGGAAGTGTTTACTACATTTACACTGAAATAGCACTAACACAACTTCTACATGATGTTACTTTGTGGTCAAAGCCACATACTTTGATTAGAATACAAGGATAAGGATGAAAAATCTTTGAATAGTACAAAATATTGTTACTTGTTTAATATATTCATTGATTCTGAATGGACATGTGACCGAAATGATTCCAAGGATGTTCAAACTTGACCAAAAATGTGTTTTATTGGAATAGTTTACCTCTAGCTCAACTCCAAAATGAATCCCTCGCTTAGTAGGGAGCTCTCCTCTGTACCTAATAATGCCAGCAACATCTGTCAAGTTTCCCTCTATTTTCACTTCGACGCGAACCCAATCACCTGACTTGCAGCTCAAACCAAAGCCAGGGCTTCTTTGTAACATGCATACAATTTATATCTCTCTACCCTGGATGTTACAGCAATGAGTAAATCCTTCTCAACTGGCTGCAGTGGAGAAATGTCAGCGATGGGACAGTCAAATTCTAGATTTTCATCATCCAATGAACGGACAGGAATTTTCTGGGATCCACCGGAGTATGCTGGCTTTGATGGTGACGAACAAAGGAGCGTACCTTTGAGAATTCTTAAACATTCAGGTTGACTATTATTCAGAATTGTTTTTAAAGCGTTCGTTTCATGCACCTCACGTTTGAGTATGTAATATTCAAATTTCCTGTATTGTCTTGAAGAGCTAGCCATAGTGCCGAAATACCATCTCACATACAATTCTATGGTGCTGCCAGCTTATGGGTTGGAATAAGGATGGAATGAGGACACAACAGGATTCTGATCTCGCTTCTCTGACTTGTTCTTTGAAATAGTCCTCTATACTTCCACTCCTGCCTAAAGAGAAAGAAAGGCAATTTTTCATACATGAATAGTGACCCACTTTTACGTTTTATGAATACCGGTAGCGGTCCTTCAGGTATGGGAAGTTACATGTTAGGAATAGGGGTCCTTATGAATAGCAAGGTTACCCTGTACATGTATATTATACGGTATAGCTATATATTTACCAATTTGAATGCACTCTCTTTATGTAATGATAATCATAACCTCGCTATTCATAAGGACCGCTATTCCTAACGTGTAACTTAATCCCATACCTGAAGGACCGCTATTCATAACGCGTAAAGGGGGTCACTATTCATAAAGGCAACAGGACCGTTATTCATGATGTGAAAAATAAATTAAAAATTTAGTGCTCACTACCCCCCCCCCCCCCCCCCCCCCCCCCCACTGAGCGAAATATTGGCCACCACGATTTTCATATTTCAGCACACTGAATTTAAAATCGATTTCAAATTTGGGCCCCCACCCCTAAAAAATCCTGGATCTGCGCCTGGCTATTCGTAATACGAGAAGAGGGTGGCTATTCATAATACGAGGAGAGGGTCTTGATTTGACTTTATTTCTTCATTTTTCCCAAATATAATATAACTGAATAACAAAGAACAAATAAATGTAAGGTATAATACAACATAAACAAACAACAATTTCTACATGTCAAAATGTTTTTTTACATAATATATGTACATATAATAAAACAAAACTTAATATTTCAATAACATATTATCATAAATTTAAAGTATCATCCGAACTATTCTGTTGGAAAAGTGCAGGAGACCGCAATCATAAGCAAAGCTTGACAAGGATGACGGCCTCAAAAAAACAAAAAACAAAAAATCTTTCGGTAAAACCCCCCTCCCTTGAGTTTTTTTGGGTGTATGTTTTGTGTATGATTTAAGGGAAACCCCCCCCCCTTTGCCAATGGCTGACTTAAAAAAGGTGACCTTACCCCCCCCCCACGGAACAAAATGTCAAATTTTCAAATTTCGAGATAAAAAAAAAAGTGTCCTCTTACCCCCCCCCCCCCCCCCCCCCACTTATTCAGCGGCTGGCTGAGTCTTTGCGATTTTTTGGGGACTCCGAAAAGAAGAAAAAAAGTGTCCTCTTACCCCCTCCCCCCCCCCCCCCCCCCCCCCCCCGCGCTTATTCAGTGGCTGGCTGAGTCGTTGCGAAATTTTGGGGACTCCGAAAAGAAAAAAAATTGTCCTCTTACCGCCCCCCCCCATTCCGCTTATTCAGCGGTGTTGCGAAATTTGGGCCGATTTTAAAACCCCCCCTTGAAAAAATCCTGCGTACGCCACTGGTTGTGCAAGTGTATATGTGTGTGTGCGTAGGTAAACGCCAGCAACCGCGGACCACTCCATAGAAAACTACCTCAAACTGTGGATGTACCTGCAATGGGGGACCGTCCACGGTTGCGATACCGGTTCCGCCGTATCAAATTTACGACGTAGGGGGCGTTTGAATATTAGATGTCACAGCGTGTAGGCAACATCGACTGGATCAATCCTAAGGGGATCGCGAAATGTCACAGCGCCCCCTTCGATGACTGCGCGGGAGAGGCGCTCGCTACCTGATCATCCAATAGCAGGTACGTCCGCGGTTTGATGTAGTTTTCTATGGAGTGGTCCGCGGTGGTGGGCGATTACCTACGCACACACACACAAGTACTAAACTTGGTCCACGGTTTGCACCATAAACGTGTAGTGGTGAGTGTGTGTGTGTGCACGTGAGCGTGCGTGGTCGCTATAAATCGGAATGAGGGTCGCTATTCATGAAAATTAATTAAGCAAACAAAATGATAACAAGAAAGGAAAATATTGGATGGGGGAAAACCCCACAGCTGTTACGTAGCCGTTGGGGGGGGGGGGGGGGGGAGGGAGGGGACTACATATGCATTTACTGAAAAATAAAGAAAAAGGGCGTACCCCAATATTGTACGCAACCCATCACCCAGGGCCCCATTCAATCCAAGCCCCACTCCCCACTATCACTCCGACTACACTGCGCCATTCGGCCCACCCTCCCCACAGTATTCCCTTGGTACAAGTACATATCGTCAACAATCTCGTCAGTTGTTCATAGATGGCATAGCCTCTGTCATGTCCTCAACTCTCATCAAAAGAAGGAAGCGACGGAGGGACTTAAGTTATATACCATTTATTCAAGCTTTTTGTAAATATACAATACTGCACGATATATTTTCCATGTAAGAAAGGAAGTTAGATTTTCAAGATTTTAAGTGATTTTGTGACCGTTAGACGTTATGCAAACAGTGGCGTCCCATGTCTTTTTAAACAAGTATATTTTACCTTTATCTTTGATAATTATATAGATTCATCCCCATAAGCTAGCCAATAATATATTAGCCCCGCTCCTGTGGCAACAAAAAATAAAGTAATAACACGTATACAATCCTATCGTAATTTTTCCCCCTTGTGGTAAATCTTGCCCCATGCATCACCCTGCCCCCAACTAATCTTATCCTGGTTACACCACTGAGGCACATTATCACAGTGATATAAGGACTGAGTTTGCTCGTTTTGGAAACTAGTAATTGTTAATACGACAATTATGTTTTTGAGGAAAGTAGCTTTAAAGTGACTCAGTAACAATTGCCTCAGATTCTGAAACAAAATCCTGGATTTAGCTCATTTGGCAATCATAATTATAAACCTTTAGGTCAGTCAGGAATCCCATGACTTTTACACGCCCGTCTTATTATCAGGATATTCATGATTGGAAATCTAATTTTCATTTTTCGTTTTCCCAGAAGCTCATGAATTTTAGCCAATGAAGAATTTGAAGATTTTTTTTTCTTCCAGGAATGATCTTCTGAATCTTCTAAATGGAATCCGGACATATCGCTAGAAATCAGCACTATTGTCCAGAGCTGGTCTGTTTATCGTGCGTCGTGCATTTTAGTTCAGCTTTAAGAGGTCTTTATTTAATTGATTTTTAAAGGCTACGTGTGTATTTCAGTTTTTGGTTGGGAAGGGTAGGTTGTTCCAATCTTTGAGTGTGTGAGGGAGGAAGCTGTTGAGGTATAGTCCAGCATTGGAGTAGGGTATATCGATCATACCTCAGGATACTTGCATGTAATCATTAACCTAACTTAATTTATCCACAATCTTGATTTCCTAAAAAAAACTTTCCGAACACCGAAAACAAACGGAGTCGGACATATGGATTTTACCCATACACTTAAGCGTCAACCTCTTCAAACACACCGCGCACCGCCATGAAAAGCTTTAAAAATGTGCCAAAATCCCCCTTTTTCAACTACACTTGATCCGATCGGCCTAGTTCACCACCGGAAAAAGCATTAGAAAATTTGACTTTTCTTCTTTATGGTGATGTAACAATCACGAGATTTTGTTGTTCCATCGCAACATAATTTATTGATCATTTTTCATCAATCTGGTCATAATTTATGTGGTAGCGAGCTTTTTACCACCGGAAGATTTGATCATGTTATTAGGTTCATTCTGAACATATTGAAGTGATTCTCATTGGATGAAAAAACCTCTGTCTGATTTTGGGAACTTTCCACATTGGATCGCTTTTTCTCCATTGATTTACATGTACGTAGGTACGGTAGCCAGCGGACCGGGTCGTACCATTCTTGCTCGGGGAAAATGACGCCGTGGAAATAAGAGTGTAATATATTTTTAGTAAATAATCACGTAGGCAGAGCGCAAAAGTGAATTGTATCTCACATTCCTTGACAAGATAAGAAACAATTAATGCCTGCATGCATGCTGAGCATAAACAGTCTCAATTAATCGCCATACGTGTCCCTCCCACCATGCCCACCTCCGTGTAGCCTCTTGTCGATGGCCGTTGTTGGAGTCCGTAAATTCTGGCGAGCTTTGCTCGCCAGATAAACCGAGCACAAGCGAGGGCCTCTTTACAAGTGATCTGAATTTCTTATGTTTTACATTGTTTGGCGAATATTCCGACCCAACAGAAGTCGGTGAAAGTCATCCAATCAGAGAGAGCTACTATGACGTAATATCTACGGTTCTGTGCGAATTTCCTCTGTGAGAGCATTATAAGCCTTCCATCAATATATATATTGAAACTATTATTGGGTGTTCTACTTTAAAGTTTTGCAATGAATGACTATGAATTAGGTATCATGGATATCACATAATAAAAGCTTACGGGTCTAACTTAGTTGAATATTTGACAAAAATAGTGACTAGAGAGCACAAATACCGCAGTAATATCGATACTTGTACTGTGATGAGCCAGCATGTAACGTATGCTTCTGTTTGTCACCTCTCTAAAATTAAGTAAACTGTTGCACTGAGAACAACTTCCGAATTACAATGACCATGAGGATAATGTAAGGTACAGATTGTACCCCTAATAGCCCTACCAACAACTCTTGTGTTCGTATGGATATCATAAGGGCCAGTTTTTCTGAATATTTTTATTTTAGTTTTTTTCAATATAATTAAAATGACATGATATTTGTCTAGTGCATAATGAAATAACATCATCTGCTGAGGTGATAAATTGAGCATACGTTACATATTGGATTATGTGGGTGTGGGTGTGTGGGGGATTTGTTTCAGGTGTGTGATGTACCTGTAGTATATGGGTATTTCAGTTGATACAAAATGTACAGCAGATCACTTTTCCTACTCCTTTAGTGCCACAACAGCCTATACAAGCTGAAAAATATGATAAAATCTATGTGAAAATCCTCGAAATAGCGGCCATATTGGATTTATGCAAATTAGGGACACTTCCACTACTTGGATTTTGTTGGACTTTTAGTATGTCATTTTGGGGACCTTAGTAAAATGCATTGCAGTGAAAAATATTTTATTGCAATTTGTTTGACCTCAAAACACAATATTCCTAGCCTAATAAGACTACCATAGGCCATGTACTATAGCTGCTCCTGACCTATATTGATACAACCAGTAGGTACCAGTAGGTAGCTGGGCTAGGCTTCTCTCAAGACACAATGATTTTTTGATTTAGTGTCAAATTAGGGTCTGTGCTTGCAGACTAGTGCTGTAACCC